AAGAACTGTCAAATGCCTTGGTGAGGTACACAATGTTTACTGCCTCCTGAGATATCTAGAAGGCAGCTCAACAAAAAGCAGACATCCTCCAGAGCAACTGAAGCACATGTGGCCCAAGTGATTGCCAATTTGTAGACATACCATAAGTATTAGGCTACTGTGGGCAGAAATATTAAAGGGTAATTTCAAATATTAGCTGTAAATCTAAAGTCAGAAAGGCAAAGCTCTAAATTTCAGCTGTTAATTTGTAACAAACTTGAATCTCACATGTGCAATTTTTTTTATGTAACCTGCTCTTGGGTGAATAGCAGCAAAGATATATTAATTTAACAATACCCAGGCCAGCTAGTACATTATTTATTATAAAATCCCTAGGATAGATTGATAGCATAGTTTAATAGACTTAGGGGGAGGCATAGTATACTGGTTAAAAAACTCTGGAATCTTAGAACTGGGTTCTAATCTTGACTCTGCCACCTAATAGCAGTGTAACCTTGTGGAAGTTACTTATCTTCATTTAACATATTCCCTTATCTATAACTGGGTAAGATAATAATAATGCTATCTTATAAAATTATTATGACAATTGAATATAACAGTGATTATGTTAGTGATTATTGTTACCCCAATCTAACAGAGAAATTAATTTAGTGTGAAAAGACAAACTTGTAAAATCCATGCTAGGGCCAAGCAATCATCTTTTTTCTTTATCATGCTCATCAACTCTTGTTTTAATAATGAATTATGTAATTTTTCTTGAACTTAGTAAATTTGCTAATCAGGCCAAGAAATTTTGATGTTGAATTTTGAAAGGCTCCAGCCTGTGCTCATATACCTCAGTGCAGCTAGAGCCATAATGCTTCAATTCTTACCTATTTGACAAATAATATTGTCGTATGTTGGGACAAACATCTTTTTAAGTTTGGACTTCCCAAACTTTTCAGATTGTTGGTTTAAACTAGCTTTTGTCAAGTGTTTTCACCCATCACTAAAGTGTCTAAAGCCAAACACATAATGCTTGTACCTCTCTGGTGTAGCTTGTCTGATATCTGCCAAATCATGTTTATCCTTTTTAGTTCTATAAAATTGCTTCTTTCTCAAGTCTCTTAGTAGATTTCTGGAAGATGATAGCATAAGAACAGGTTCTTAACTCTTGCTTTCCTCCAACAAATCAACAGAATTGGCTACTGGGAAATAAAAATTGAGCAAAACCTGTACAAATAACAAGCACAGAACTCTCAAAGAATTTCTGAAATACATAATGCTGATGGGGCCATACTGAAGGATACACCAACCTGAGGAATTTATGTGATATCCTGACAATCAAGAAAACCATGGTAGAAACTCACTAATATTTTCTAGTTTATAAGAACATGGACTGGGGCTGAGGAAAAGCAATGGAAAAGACAGTGATGAGAAAGGGAAGGTAAGGGAATACTGCATAATTTCCAGTTTATTTAAGTCTCCCAATATATTTTTAAAATAAAATAATATTAAATTAGAAATGTCAAACTTAACAGAGCTTAAACTTTTTATGTTTACTAAATTAAGCTTTATAATGAACATTTTTCATGAGGTAAGTCTAGCTGTTTAGCTGGGGTTATCAATTATGTCAAAAGTATAAATTTCAGGGCTGGCAGAGTGGCTCAAGAGGTAAGAGTGCCTGCCTAGCAAGCGTGAGCCATGAGTTCAAACCCCAGTTCCACCAAAAAAAAAAGTCTGAATCTCAAACCCTTTGTAAATATAGGACATCAATCAAATGCCTCTCTTGGCACCTCAGCCCTGAACCCTGGGCTAGTCTCCGACAGCAATTACTCCATTTGTTCCTATTTAACACTGAGAATCAAAAAAATATATATTAAGCAGGCTGCCCTCTCTGAGATAGTCAGCCACACCCAAGTAATGGGTGTCTTCTGATCATGGTTTCTCAACTAACATGGTGGTCTGCCCTTTAAACAAACCCAGCAAGGTTTGTTTTGTATCTGCCCCCTACTATCCTACCCAATCCATCATAAGTAAAAAAAAGTATATATGATACCAACACATACCTGAAGTAGAGGCCAAAGGAGTAAATGAAGAAAGTTGTCTTAGTGAAATTCTTCTGCTGGGATTACCTGTTCTTAGCCCCCTCCCTGCTACCATATCCTGCAGGATCAAAACCTGTAATATAAACTTGTATAATACAGCAAATTTAAGGAGAGGGTGACAGCCTAATAAATAGTGAAATGATGAAAAAAATCATTCCACTCTTATTGGAGGTAAAGGGAGATCAGGTCAGGATATACCTTCTTGATTCAATGATGAATAAATGGATAAATCATCGATCAATAATAAACCCAAAATAAAAAGAGACTGTAAAAAAACATGCGATATAATAGGAAGAAATTATATATTTCTTATATCACATAAGAGATTAGGAGAAAGAACATAAAATCAATTTAAAAAGAAGGCAAAATAAAGTTATTTTAAAAATTAATGAATTAGAAAACAGAGAAATAGACTTAATATTAAAACATGGGACAAAACAGGGAGAAAGTAAAATACATTAAAAAAAAACGTGTAGCAAAACAAAGTGAGGGATTCTGTTCCTTGAATGTTTGAAAGAAATTTATCTGCTAAATTGTCTGAGCTAGATCTCACACAATATTGTTTCTTCTATGGCTAAATGATTGCTATTTTCTATGCCTCCACTTACAGTTCTTATTTCTAACATCATCCACATTATTAGAATTCTTAAATTTATTATAGAAGACTACTTTTGCAATTATCTTAAACATCTAGTATCATATTGCAGTGAAGTAATAAATCACCATTTCCTAGAGTTGTTGTTCTGAGGAACACTGACAAGCCAAATATTACTAAGTATATTGAAAAGAACCTACTTATTTAAAAAATAATAGCCAATATTTATCGCACAATGAAACTGATACCAAGTCTAGAATATATAGTATTTTGCAAATATATAGTATTTTGCCTGTCTCCCAGAGGAATGTTCTTTTCAGAAAACACAATTTAGAATTGCTGCAGCAAACATTCAGGTTAAAATGAGAAGTAAAACAAAAATGCCAGTGCCACCAGGATTATTTAGCACTGTTATAGATGGTTTAGTCCATGCAGTCAGTATCTGTTATAAATTTTAAAAACGAGAATATATAGCTTATCATTGATGTGATTGCTTACCAGGAAAACTCAAAAAGATCAATTGAACAGCTATTAAATTAATAGATTTTGATAAACTGCTAATTTGAAATAATTTCTGAAAATAATTCTCTTATATAACAAAAGTGACCACATAGGTAACATACTAGGAGCTCCTACTAGCAGTGTCAATGTGTTTCCTGTAAGTCTGTATTACCAAGGAATACAGTTATCACAAATTATATAGGACTTAAATAAAACCCTCTTGAAAGATAAAATAAAGCAACATACCATGTTTATGGAAATCAATACAATTCTGTAATTTAAAAATTTAAAAATCCTAATCAAATTCCTAATTTACTGCTTCGGGGAAAACCAAATAATTGAAATGTTTACATGATAAAATAAACATGTCAGAATCATCAGAAAATTCTGCATATACGTATACACACTATATATATGTACATGTACACACACAAACATATAAAATCGATAGGAGGACTCACACTCAACCTAACAGATATTAAGTCATATTTCTAACTCAGTAACTACAGGTTAATATACTAGGGCTACAATGTTCAGTGGATCTAAAGAGAATTCAAACACAGAACAAGTATGAATATGTATATTTCAAATGTGGGAGAGGACAAAAAATACCCAGTAACAATTGAATAACCCTTTGGGGAAAATAAGCTAGAGTCCCTAAATCCATCCATCCCAGATATGGCAAAATTTAATAAAACCATAAATGTGAATTATAGGCTATTTATATAATCTTGGGGTGGGATAACTCTTCTAAACATGACCCTATGGTCGGAAGGCAAAAAGGAAAAGATTTATCCATTTTTTATTTTTTTTATTTTTTTTAGTCATTTTTAATGCATTTTCCCTGTGCACAAGAGAAATAACTGATAAAGTCAAAAGATACACTTTCCTTTATACATAGCAGTTAAAAGTAATGCAAACATCACATGACACTTCCAGTAAAAGTTACATTTCCAATTACAAATCAAAATGCATATTAGGGTCTCTTTATGGGAGAAGCTGAGAAGGAAGTCTTAGGTAAAAAGCACTTTCCTGGCATTACTACACCGATCCTTCAGGCTGCACAAAGATTAAGATCATATACAGTCAATCTGCAAGTGTTGACACAATGTTACACTGTAAGTTTTCTGTACAATTAAATGTATACTTAGAGATACCAGGATAAACATTTCTACTATATTTTAACTGAACTTGCCTAGCCAACATTTTCACTGAGAAATTTATCAAATATGCTGTAAGATTCTACAAAATTGTGAGACATACCTAACTCCAGAAATATTTCTTATATTCTTTCTTATTTTGGTTACACATATTCTGCTCAAATTCTACGTAATACTTCTAGATGTACAGTTCCAATTGTGCTTACTGTACTGTGTACAAATAATAGCAAAACAATCAATGAATGGTATAAATCTTACAGCATTTTGCTAGCAAAAATACATGCCAAAGTCACAATAAGCAATATTGTACCACAAATTAGAGCTTCAAATAATTTGCTTCTGTTTTTAATATCTTCATTCTACATTAAATTACTATCATAGGCTAATGTTTAAAATGCAAATAAACTGGACATCTGTAGGACAAAACTTGTCACCCAACTGTGAAGGCTGATACCTGTTTCCAAAAATCACAACAAATGCAGAATAAAGAGAAGTGTTTGCATGCAACACCTTTGAGTGAAACAGCATTGATTCCCACCATTCAAAACAGAGAAGAAAACCAAAAGAAAAAGGAAGGGAAAAAGGAGAAGGAAGGAAACAAAGAGGGAGGGGAGAGGGTAGGCGGGAAGGGAGAGGGTGGGGGGTGAAAGGGTGGAGGGAGGGGCAGGAGGGAGGAGGAAAGGAAAGAAGGGAGGGAGGGACTCCACCTTAAAAATGCATCATATTAGATTTATAACTAGACAGATTTAAAAGAATCAAAATGAAAGAAAAGCACGATTTTGTGTGTGTGTGTTTAAAGATTTAAGAGCCATTATCAAAAATAAGATACATTTTTTTCAAGGTACAGAAATGTAATTACGATGGCTGGGAGCCCAGCAGCCTCTCAATGGCTGCATTGATGTCGCCTCCTGTTGCTATTAGGGCCTGCAAGTTTGCTTCACGGTTTAAGAACCCCATGGCGTTGAGCTGTTCCAGTTGCTGCTGAAATCTGACTTCTGGATTCGGCAGCTGTGGAGGATTTGCTCCAGCCAAAGCCTGCACCATTTGCTGAATGAATTGCTGGTTGGGTCCAGATTCTGATGTTGGACTGGTCGTTTCACTGGGTGCAGAGCTGGACACAGTGGGTGCAGTGGGGCCGCCAGAGCCGGTGGAGCCGGGAGAACTCGCAGGGCCAGTGGGTCCTATGGGCCCAATAGGGCCTATGGGGGTAAAAGGAACTATAGGACCTATAGGGCCTATGGGAGTGACAGGGCCTACAGGACCTAGGGCTGTTCCCAGCACCCCCACCCCCACACCTGGAGTGAAGCTTGGAATGAGGCCAGGTGCTTCAGTGGCTAATGTCTGTAGCCCCTGCTGTATCTGCATTAAAGCCTGCATTGCTCTTGGGTTTGACATGGCTGATATTGTGTCCGGATTCTGCATCTGCTGCAGGAAAGCCGGGAGCTGTGGACGCATCTGCTCCTGCAGCTGAGGATTTGCAGTAAACAGAGGGCTATTCAGCATCATCTGTGCAGCCAAATCTGGATTCTGGCTCAGGGACTGCATCATGCTTCTCATGTAGGGTGCAGACAGCATATTCTGAATGAGCTGAGGGTTTTCAGTTATCTGTTGCAGCAGGCTCTGCATTCCTGGGGTACTGAAGATGCTAGCGACATAATTAGCTGCAGCCACCGTATTGCCAGTAGTATTACTGGAGCTACTGCCAGACCCACTGCCACTGCTTGTGGTAGTGCTGGTGGTCGCAGAACTCTGAGTAGCCGGTGGTGGTGCCCAAGGATTGGGCAGTGGATCCCGATTTTCTGTGCGGGAAGGCTGAGTACCTTCCCCCGAGGAGGAACTGCTCCCCACCGAGGCAAAGGGATTACCCCCAAACTGCTCTTGTGCCGCATTCAGCATGGGTTCTTGAATGTCAGTGTACATGCGCCGTAGAGCATTGTAGCCACCTGGGATACTTTCGAGATTGCTGAGAGCCAGGTCTTGATTTCTCATCATCTCTTGCATCATGGCTGGATTCCTGGCGATTTCGAGAGTCTGCCTCATTATATCTGGGTTGTTGAGCAGGTGACTGATTTCTGGGTTTCTCTGAATCAATTGTTGCATCTGTGGATTGGCCATAATGAGCTGCCTCATCAGATCAGGATTCGAAAGCATGCTCTGAACAAAGGGATTTTCCATGATTTGGATCATCATCTCAGGGCTGGCCATGAGCTGCTGCTGCATCTGGTTCTGAAGCTCAGAGAAGTTGGTGGTGCTCAAACCCAGGCTGCTAAGGCCTGCAAGTCCTCCCAGGCTCCCCAACCCAAAGGGGTTGCTATTTGTGGAAATAGGTGTGGAGTTACTCCTGGGAGTCGATGCCGAGGTAGTAGTAGTTCCCGCGGCACTGCTAGGCTGTGTGGTGGTCTGGCCCTGGCCCTGGCCCTGGCCCTGGCTCTGGCCCTGGCCCTGGCCCTGGCCCTGGCCCTGGCCCTGGCCCTGGCTCTGGCCCTGGCCCTGGCCCTGGCTCTGGCCCTGGGTCTGGCCCTGAGGTCGGTTCTGGCTTTTGATGACAAGGTGAACAGTCAGTCCATCATGGATGCCGTGCTGGATCAAGGTATCTTGATCTTTTAAGATTTTTCCGGCAAAAATCAGCACTAGCTGATCGGTTTGGGATTTGAAGCGTTTAGAAATCGCTTCCTTAAACTGCTGGACCGAGCTATTCTCGGGCACCGCGAACTCCTCTTTCTCTTTGGGAGTCTTCACAGTGACTTTGATGATTTTGGGCTCAGCCGGGGCAGCGGCCGAGCCTTGGGCCGCAGCAGGGCTGCGGGAGGGGCGCGGGGGACCGCTGCTCTCGCCGTTCTCAGCCATGGCGGCCGCGGTGACGCAGGCGGGCAGGAAAGGCGCTGGCGAGCGAGAGATAGAGCGAGGGAAAGAGGAAGGAAGGAGGCGCCGCAGCAGCAGACTAGGCCGGGCCGGGCGAGCAGCGCGGAGCACCGTACCTCTGTGATGAAGACTGTGGTTCCTTGGTCCTCTGGTGGAGACTGGCTTCGGCGTAGGCCGCGGGCTAAGGTGTCGGAGCTCAGGTCTCTGGGCCTTCTCCTCCGCCGCCTTGTGATCTGACCGCGCGCACTCCCAGCAACTCCCGCAGCCGCTCCGCCCGCTCCTCCCCGCCCCTTCCCCTCCCCCAGCTTCGCGCTCGCCTCCCCGCCCCCTCTGCTGACGCGGCGCCAGGCCCTGATTGATAGATTTGACTGGGTCAAAATTAAAAACTTCTGCACTGAAAAAAGGGGGGGCGATGGGGGAGAAACAAACAAAGAGAGAGAAGAGAAGGGACGAGACTAGCGAAGACCCCAGAAAAGAGGAAAGGCAAGGGAGGGAGGGAGGGAGCGAGGAAGAGGGATAAGGAACCAGCTTCTTTAGACGATATTGAAAAACCTATGGAGAATATCTATTAGCAATCTGTAAGACAGTGAAAGGATGAAAGCCTGAATCTAACCGATCCCATGTAAAAAACGAAAAATGAATAATAAAGAACTCTGACAAAGCAAAAAGGAAAGGGGAACACCCCCCAATGGGGGAAGGAAAAAAGGGCAGGAGATTGCATTTTACAAAGGAAGTGTAAATGGCCAATGAGCTTATAAAAAGACGATTAAACTCTCTAATAATCAAAGAAATTCCAATTAAAACAATGAGATTTTACTTTCGGTTTATCGTATTGACAAAGATGAAAAATAATGATAAACCTTGTTGACAGAAAGGAGAGAAAATTGCACTCTCATGCTAGTTGAAATGTAAATTGTTATAATCATAAGGTAATTTGAAAATACAAATTAACATTTTAAATATTTCCATCTTTATTTAGAAATATCTCATCTGCGGTCTTTACCTAAGAAAATGACCAGATAACGATGCAAAATTGCATATGCATAAGCTGCATATACACCAACATTTAAGAACTAACATTTAAACATTTTAAATGTGTGCTTACATGGTATTACCCAAGCATGTTATACTACCATACAATAAAATAATATGCACTTATGTTTAAAAGATGGGTTGTTAATTTATATAATATAAAGTATCTTCAAAGGTATACATGAAATACACTGCAGTTGTAGGGAAATCATGGAATATATTTAATTTTGGCTCTATATACTTCTGCACAAATGAGAACGATACGAGGATGCACATTTCAAAATAAAAATAAGTATATATTTTTTATTTAAAAACTAACTTTCGAACAACTTGTGTAGACTTATGTACATGTGTAGAAAATAAATCAAGAAGGCTATCCACAACTATGATAATGGTGGTTATTAGTGCTGAAATGATGGAAAATTCTTTTCTATTTTTATAAGATTTTGAATTTTCATATGCTTTTTATTAGTGTACACTGTATTTATAATTAAATGTAATAATTAAGATTAAATAAATAATGTAAGTATAGAAATATATTTGGGGAAGTAAGTATAGGTAGAAATTGACAGGCACACACAATAGTAGTGGCAGGCATTAATATGCTTACCTATTTCATTACTGATTGAGAGAAATTTTAAAAAAGTAACAGCACTGATAAAGGGAACATGAATTATAGAAGAAAGAATATCAAAATTATGCATATATTTCTAATTCTGATTTAACCCATACAAAAATCATTTTCCCATCCAATACCCAGGCATAATTTACCAGCATTTCAAAGTCATTAAGTCACAGAACCTCAATAAATCTCAAGGTAAGGAAAAAATACAGGCATGTGACATCCATCAATTAATATAGTAATATGTTATGATTATATATAGTATGGTTAATATCATTAATATTAAACAGTTTTAAATGAACTTCTTTTAAATATATTTATATGTATAGATCTCTAAACCTAATTAATTAGTATATGCCAAACATCATCCTATAACATTTATACGTGCATTCATATGTATGTGAAATATTTTACTAGAAATATGCCAGAGAGGTTCAGGGTACAACTCAGTAGTGGAGGACTTGCCTAGCAAATGTGAGGACCTAGACTCAATTCCCACCACAGCCCCCAAAACAAAACAGAAATATATCAGAAGGAGTCATACCAAACTTGTACACAAGAGGAAGAGGAAATGAAATAGGACTCAGGGTAGTGACTAAAGGCAGCTTGAGTTAAATCTGTAAAAATATGTTCTAGCTTTAAAATTGAAGCAAATATGACAAAATATCAGCAATAGTTAATTCTAGATGGTGGAAATTCATATTCATATATGTTATAATATTGTTATATTTTGATTTTCTCAAAACATAAAAAAACACAGTTCATACCTTAATTTCAATAGAATAACGGTAGATATTAATGATGAAAGTGTGAGGGAAAAACTCAACCAAGCACATTTGAGACAGAGTACAAATCAAAACTCTTATTAGAATGAATTTACAAAAATATAATAAGAAGAATATATACCTCAATAATTACCATAGGATTTCTAGGCCCCAACAAGTTCTTGCGACCACATACAGGAAATCAAGTCCTAGAGTGCTCAATTGGAGGCCCCAAGTTTAATCCCAATACCACAAAAAGATAAACAAATAAATAAACAAACAAACAGATATCTAGGCCCCAACCCAAAGGAACTGAAATAAGTGATATATATGAGAATCTGCATTCTTATCAGCCTGCAAATTAATAATATTTGATATATGGGGTATTGTGTAGATGAATTCAGAGTCAAGTTTCTACATGCAAAGACTTTAAACACCAAACAATAGTGAAAATAAGTGAATTAGGCATTCAAATAAGGAGGACAACAGAAAAAAATAAAATAAAATGAAAGAAAGAGGTGTCAGCTACAAATGATAAAAATAAATATTAATGAACAAGTAAGAAAAGCAAAATTTGTTAAGTAAATCTAAGTTCTTTTAAGAAACAAGCCAAATAGATAAAACATTACCAGCTCAGTGGTTCTCTTAACTTACAATTCCCTCACCAAGGCACACTCCCTTTTTCCCCTTCCTGGAACTTTCCATAAATACATGTCTTTGAGTTGTCTTATCTTAAAAATCTTGTTTTTATATTTTATTCCAAAATATAATGTAAATTTATATTTTAAACTACATATGATAAAATAAAATTAACATTCCAGTAATTCAATTTAGGTGCCTTCATTAGCATTAAGTAACTGAAACCTAAGGAGAGAACAAGACAAATACATTAAAACCAGTAGTGTGTGAGTACATTTAATCACATATAAAGGGGATAGTTTTGGAAATCATGAGAAAACACATTGTACCAATCTTGACTAATAACAAAGAAAAACTAATGACTGTACTACCTTTCTGGGAAATAGTCGTACCTAAAATTTACTCAGAAAAAGTAGCAAAACCTTAACAGAGTATGTAAGAGACATATAAGGAAATGAAGAAATTAAATAATCAGCTATTTTATAAATCAGTTTTATTGTCCAAGATGGTAGCTGAGCTTGTTTTTCCCTCCTCTCTACCAAATCTTATTAAAGTGACAGAAACAACATCAGAAAAATAACAAAGCCCTAGTAGTGTTGGAAAGATAAGAAAAAAAATGCCATGAATGAATTTTCATCTTAAATACCAAAATAAATTCTACATGAAAGGTGAAATTATAAAATTCGCAGAAAAATATTAAAACATGTATTTCTATAACATCATAATGGCAACAAACTTTCTAAAGCAATGAAGAAAAACTATAAATGGAAAGATTGATAGATTTCATTAAATAATTTTAAACTTTTATATGTGAAGAAAACAATAAAAATTAAAAATTACAGGCAATCTAAAAATCACTACTGGATACAGTCAGAACTAGAGAAACAGAAATATAACATAATGGCAAGAGCACAGATTTGAGCCAAGCAGACTGGGATTACAAACCCAGCTTGATCATTTATGGCTGTGTGACCTTCAAGCAGTTCGTTCATTTCTTTGAATCTCAATTTCTTTACCAGGAAAAATGAGACTAACATGCATGTTCTTCAATGTTGTATTAGTTAGTTACAGGTAGTAAGTACATGAGAAAGACAATAATTGCTCTGACACACCCCCCTCTCTGAAAGCAAAGTAAATGAAATTAATTTATTCTTGGTAAATTCAATTTTAAAATGAAGAACAAAAAAATGCCAACACAAAAACAGTAACAGATAAGAGCAAATATATTAGCACACATGTATTCTGTTCTGGAGCTATACTTTCAAATTAAATATTAGTCTTTCAAATTTCATGCTCCATATACTCTAATAATTTTTCCCTTTTCATTTAGTTTGCTTATAAATAAATAATTATAAATTAGTCTTTCTTGAATGCACAGAAATTCTAGTGGTATTATACCCACTTTAATCCTCTAGGACATAAGTTACACACTGGCAACTTACGGGCTATCTTGCCTGCCAACACCTAAAACTGACAAATTTCTCAAACAAATTTCCTGATTTCCAGCTTCTCTTTCAAAAGTAGATGATCAGGCTACCTTCATACTCTTGAAGGCCTATAATTTGAGTGACACTGAATAATAGCTGCATTCTTTAGATAAGGCATGTGTTCTGATTTGCCAGTTTCCTCCAGGTCCACTTTATTTTCTTATCTAGCTGGGCCCCTAAACATGGTAATTTTTTTTTTTTGACAGTGCTAGGGTTGGAACTTAGGGGCTCCAGCATGCTAGGCAGGCACTCTACTACTTAAGCCACATCTCAGCCCTTTTTTGTGTTGAGTATTTTCAAGATAGGATCTTGTGATCTTTCTCTGGCCTGCCCTTGAACTGTGATCCAACTGATCTCTGCCTCCTGAGTAGCTAGTATTATAGAAATGAGCCACCATTGAGGAGAAGCTTGAGCTTTCCCTTTCTTTGCTCCATCTCCTGAAGCCCTGAAGCCTTGGGGTGAGTTGGAAAAGCCAAAAACATAATGTTTTTAGAGGGTAGAGTCATTCGTTCTAAGGGCAAATCTGCATAGGAGCAAATGCTCTCTTTCCCTTGATGATGATGGTGACTATAATTGATGATAGAAGCTAATATTTTTCCTTCAGTGTATCTTTTCATGACTTTTCTCATCAGAGTTTTATGACCTTGAGGGACTTCCAATTGAAAAACAGACCTTGAGAAATATATGAAATGAATGTCTACCTCATCATGCTATGA